TTTCTACCAGACTGCATAGATTATTGTTTTTAAATTACCAACATCACCATGGCATCATTGAAGGGTCAGATGGTCTTACAGGCCTATACAGCATGTATCAGGTAAATATCATCCTGTTAGCCTATATACAAAGTGTCCTGGTCGCAACATATTTTCCTATATTTTTTGAAGTCAAAGTATTGATATGACAAATCCCCCCCCCAAAAAAAAAAATCATCATAACTTTGTAACCTTAAATCCATGTAGAAAAAGCAACAAGGTCAGAATTGTTCTCTGGAAATAATATATATATATTTCTGCATTGTGGTACTGCTATTGAGGTATCCACAAAAAAAAAAAACATGGTAATGCCATTATCATGGTCGATTTCTTGAAAATTAATAATTAAAATGCTTAAAAAGTAGGAAGAAAGCAAATGAAAACACCAATAAGAAGACTTGCATTGAATCATTTAGATTAAAATATATTTATGTGACTGACATTGAGATGAATAATATAATAGACAGATAAGAAAGTCTGATTTTTTACCTAAGCTTTTGAATACAAGTACATGCATTGGTTGCATGTACTTGGTTACATGGCAGACAGCAAGTCCCACAAGTCAGACACAAAACAAGCTCTGCCTGAGATGTTGCCAGATACCTACTAAAACCGTCGACTTGAGGCTTGGTGTTGAACATGTGTCATAATTAGAGTAAAGGTTGCCCAACAAAGATGCTTATACATCTACTCTCCTAGTATCTCATAACTGTGTTTGGTTAAATAATATATGTACTGCGTGGACCCCCCTCCCCATACCTTGTTCTTTTTCATCTATTGACCATTTCATAAAGGGCTTAGGCTTATTCTAAACCTCAGTATTACTTTTCCTTGCCTTTTTCTTTGGCAGATCAATCACTATATTGCCAATACCTTTAGGCCTTCCGCGGCATTTCCTTTTTTGTGGTAACGCATTCCAAAATGAAATATGCTATGACATGCCCTTTAAAGAGAAAAGAAGTATAATCGTGTGCAGGCTAAGGGAATAACCATGGCCACATACAGACTTGTGATTTCAACCATTTGTTATAAGATGTGCAGTCTATCCCTATCTATTGTGCAGTAGTCAATCAAAGCCTCATTTTGTTGGTGCTGTACTGCCTCCTGGTTTTTGGTTCTCTGAATCAAAGATATGGTTTTGTCCTTCTAGCTTTAGAAACAAACTAATGTATCTATGTAAAAATTAGGCCAGAGAGAATGCATTACAATTGGTGCTTTTTGTTTTCATCCACTGATGTTCACAATACTTAAGAGTCACATAAAACGTCATGTATAGTTCATGCAATCCATAGACAGGTATGTTTCAGAAGCCTGGACAGTGGTCATGAAAAATTGACCACTGCATTGGTAATGTTAAATAAACACTTTTGAGTAATAGGTTGTTCTGCAAATGGTTGTTTTCACTGCTGAGGTTACTAATATACGCATCTTTTTGCAGTACTTTCTGACTGTCCACCTCTGTATCTTCAACACCTGCAAAAACAAAGAACTAGAACTGTGAATTCTGCTTAACAGCAAATCTAATGGTCATCAGAGACCATACAGGCCTACCAAAGGAAAGGGAGAAAAGGAAGAGAAAATTAATGTTGGAGGAGGGACATTTTACTTGACCAGACAGAATATATAGTTCTCCAACAGAACTTCACATGTAACAAGTGTAAGGAGAGGTGGGAGTAGAAGAGGGTCTTGCAGGTTCAAAAAGCTTTTTGGATGAGAAATTTTTCCCATAAAATATCAATTAACATCCAGTTCATAGGCCTACTTCCAAATAGATCAATAGATATAACAGAAATCAGAGCATAGTTAGATGGGAAAAGTGCACTCCCAATGACAAGATCTCTACTATGAGGCACCTCACCGTTCAGGTACCTGTGCAGTAGGATGAAGTGCATTTGATGGAACAACTGCCATCAAATGACTCTATTAAGAATGACTCCAAAGACTCCAGAAATAGGGGAGGGGTTGGATTATGTAGTAGACGGGTAAAATGAATGAATATGTTTGGCTGACTGGAATACTCAACTGGATTGCCTGGCTTAAGTTTTAAGCTTTTCCTTTCAATTTGGATAGTGACACACTAAAGGTCACTACACTGAGAGGCCTATTATCATTACCATTGTCAAGGTCAATGGTCACACAGGTCCAGAGCGTGTCCCAGCAGCTCACCATCAGTTGCTTCTCTATGATACAATACAGTTGCACTACCAGTTGAGGCGAAGAGGTTCACTCATGATCTTCGTCGTCCCTGCCGTTTGCTGCAGTAGTCAAAGCACTGGGTAGCAAAGGCTCTAACTCTAGCCATCGGGTTGCGGGCTGCATCCTGAGATTCTAACATAGAACGATAGTGTTTCTATGCTGAGATGGTTATCTTCCTGCCAAGACAGCCAAATCATCCGCAACAAGTCACACATAACAAGATTCCTTGATACTATTAGATGAAGAGAGAATCCCCTATCAATCA